AAATTTTTATTATTAATTTTTATTATATATATATATATAAATAATACCAGTTGAACGCAAAAAAATGCCGGGGGAAATAGTGGTCATATTGGCGAATTTAAGGCAGAAAGGTTGGGTTTGGAGATTTAAGAATGTATGGCTAACATGTGATAAAGGCCTTTCTGGAAGAAAAAAAGCCCCAAAAATAATCCCGTATCCTTTTTTTGGTGTAGGAAAATGTATATTTTTTTGTAGTAAAGTTTTTTTTTTTTTTTTAATCTTTTGGATGCTTGAAGGGTTAATTTTGGGTTTTCCCTTTTTTCTTAGGGGAAAATTAATTTGCTTAGATAAATTTGTCTTCATGGCCTTTGGAATGGATTTAAAATCGTAAAATCGGGGGGCCCCTGTATTTTCATACCTAATTTAGTGCCAAAGAAATTGGCCATGGACACAAGAATATTTTAAATTGTAATTATCAGAACAAAAAATTATGTAAATTAAAAACAGAAGAAAGGTAATATATCGGGAACACTTTTGAAAAAAGGACCCCATGTTGCCATCAGGTGAGTCATGTAACTTCCAGTCTTATCCGGTAAAATTTTACCCAAATTTTTTTTTTTTTTTGGTCTTAAAAACGGAACATTGCCTCTTTAATTTTTTTTTTTTTTTTTTTTTTTTTTTTTTTTTTTAAAATATTCAAGGGGGGTGCAAATGAATTAGATTATGTTGGACAGTTTTAAAAAAAAGGGTTAAAAAATCCAACAAAAAAAACAGACTGCAGATGATCTCAAATCCGGCCGACAAAACCCCCCACCTTTTCAAAAACATGAAATTTCCCTTTAAAATACATAATATAACACCTTTTTATTGTGCCCCACTTTGTATACAGAACATTAAACTTAATATCAACCTTCCCCTCAAACTTCCCCCGCAGCTTCAACAGAAACACAGGCATAACATGGACAAAGCACTTTTGACATCCCCCGTGTCCATCTCCCCTTGCAAAAAAGCAGTGCACATTAAGGGCCCAAAGATCTGGAAAATCTCTGCCTGAAACAGCAAAAGGTCCCTTGCCACAAAACAGTTTTGACCAATCAAAAAATCATCTCACTCTCAATAAAAACATACCCACACCTGCTAAACCCCAACTAAAACCCAAAAAAATCCCCAAAATATTTTATTACCTTAATACAAGTTATAATGTATGTTTGTGTCAAATAATTTACTACCTCGTATTAAGATAAATTAAAAAAGAACCAAATTTGGGAAAATAAAATGTAAGATTAATCCAAATTTTACTACCTGTATTGTTTTAATATTGGGCCATTCTTCACTTATTGATTTTTAAATTTTTATAATATTAGGGTTTAAAACTGCTGAAAACCTTGGCTGATAGGGTTTTTTTTTGCTCCCAAACAAATTAGTATGTAAACACATTGTGCCCTTTGCAAAGAAATAATTTTGGGAAATTTTGAATTTAAGGTAATTTTAAAAAGCATTTTCTTTTATGTAATCCCGACGCAATACATTTTTTTTAGACAAACCGTCTTCATTTAGTTATGTTTTCCTCCTTCCTTCAAATCCCACTTTAACCCCTTTTAGTTTTGGGGTATATATACTCTTACGAGCCCCCGTGTTTGACATATTAATACGCATAAATTCTAGTGGCTTCAGATCAAGCAGTAGAAAGCTGGTAGACCCACATGTGAGAGAATGGATCTCCATGGTTAGTGTGCACCATATAAAAAAATCGGGAAGCCAGTGGTGCATTGTGGGAATGCCATTTCAGTAGTCCTTGTTCAGCAGACCTAGTGGTAAGAAATATGTGACTCCCCGGCAAATGCCCAGGATACCAAAAGAATGAAGGAGAATGAAGAATGAGAGAGAGAATGAGGGAGAGAGTGAGGGAGAAAGATAATTAGATAGTAGGATGGAGGGGAAAGGAGCATCCAACCCCTGTTTTGACAGGCAGTAGGGAGAGTGAGTAATGAGACTAGGAACAATTAGAAGTCCACGTACTCACACAAACAACACAAGCTTGAAGTTAACCCTTTCAGGGTCGCCAGGCCCTCTCCGAGACTTGTTTTCAGGGTCGCCCAAATTTCAAAAAAAAAAATTTCTTAGGGAAAAGATTCTCTATCTTTTCATATCATAATGACACCAAAAGTATGAAATTTGATGGAAAACTTATGGAATTATGCTCTCGCGAAGTTAGCGGTCTCAACGATGTTTACACATTGGCGATTTTGCCCACTTTGAGCTCTATTTTCGGCCAATTCCAGTGTACTAGTTGACAAAATTCATAACTATTTTGCTAGAACTCCATTTTTTTCTATCAAATGAGTACAAGAAACCACCCATTTACCAATTTCAACTATCTAATAAAGTGGTCAGAATTTAGCAATTTTGCCAATTTCACACAAACTTCAAAAGATGCCAATTTCCGAATAGGGTCCAGAATAAACAAGACATTCCTGGCACTAAAATAACAAGTTCTCTGTTCATTAGTCACATCCACAGGCCCCTCTTATATTTCTCTGGCTTTCCACTTTGAATTTTTATTCTTACAAAAAATAGAAGATTTACTGTTATGCAGACTACTGCATTAGTGTAGAAATGGTATAAATAATATCAGCACACTTGTGAAAGAATATTAGACTCGCCAGTTGATGTGTATTGGACGCTTGGCATGATTTGTTTACTTTTGAATTTTTTGTAAAAATCGAACATTCTGCTGCTTTGAGCTCAATTTCAAGGTACTTTTCATTGTAAAACCAGTCAAAATCATCTCAATTTCTGTAATATGTCTTCCATTCTATGAAATGAGACCAGGAAAACTAGAATACAACCATAAATACCATACGAAAATGCAGTGCAAAGTCTCCGTTTTAATCCAAAAACACTGTCAAAGTTTTTTTTTTCTCATTACGCACTGTGTGCTGCAGGATTTTTTTATACTGCTTACACTGACCACATAGACCCATTCTTACATATGTAGGCTTACCAGCTTTCTATCACTAGATTTGAGGGCGCTAGAATTTAGGCGTACTAGTGCTTCAAAAACCCTGGGGCGTAAGCCGTACTAGTACAGCCGAAACCCTGAAATGGTTAATAGCAGTTACATGAAAGTATCCAGTGACTATATATGTATTGTAGAAACCAGAAGGAAGGAAGAAAGGAAGGCAGGCAGGAAGGAAGAAAGGAAGGGAGGACGAGATGAAAGGAAGGAGGGAAAGGAGGGAAGGAATGTAGGAAGGAAGGTAGGAAAGGAATGCAGGAAGGTAGGAAGGAAGGAATGATGACACACTACCATTTACCTAGGATAACTACGTAACACAACTACCTGCTAATATACTTTGAAGAAAACTGCTCATATGAGGTGTTTTGTCTTTGCACGTAAAAAAAACAAGCCCACAAAAATGCAGACACTTGTTTTATGTGTGAGTAGTGTAAAACAGCATTGTGTATGAAACAGTGTTTCAGAGAGTTCCACAAGCTGCAGAACTTCTAGGAACATGTCCAGTGACTGTACATTTGTATATATATTATAAAACAATAGTAAAAACAATTTTTTGTATTTTGTTAGTGTAAACAAATTTTGTAAACAATATATTGATAATTATGTTTGTGCATTTATTGTGTTGTATACAATGAGTGTATATGTGTACATTGCACGTTACTTTGGTCTCAGAGGCCACATAAGTTACTTGAAAAAATAAAATAGTAAAAAAAAAAAAACAAGAAACCTTGAAATGCAAGTAAACCAAAGTTTACAGAGTGAGTGGTATTTGCCGCTGTTGTCATACACGGCTCATTTTCTGCCAACTTTATGCCTCTTCATCTCGGTAAATACTGATCGCAAAAAAGTTTTTTTGGGGGCTTAAAACAATCAGAAAATTAATCTTAACATTTTCATAAGAAAAAAAAATTTTTTTTTTTTTAAATTCAATACCAGGAGACACTTCAGGATTTGGGGTTGCGACAGTCAAAGAGTTAAAACTGACAATGTATATTGTCCCATTGGATTTGTTTTGTACTGTATTGTAATTAAAGTAACTTGCTGTAATTTCATCATCTACTCAATCACACCATAAAACTGAAGAACACTGAATCAGTTTAAATAAGTAATATGTAATTCTTTTGTAATTTCCCATTTTGTCATCAGCTCTTTTTCTGATTGTTCTTCTGACTATACTCTACCTTTCAAGAAGTCTTGCATAATAAGCTATGTCTATTACTTTAGTAGCATATAAGCCTTATGATTAGTTGCACAAAATGCAGTGCATGGCAAGTGGCTGCCTTTTGTGCTTACAATTTTACTCATACACCTTCCTATTACTGTATCTACTTTATTTGTAAGGCTCAAAGAAATAAAACATCATCATTATCACTTAAAGTAATTAGTATTTTTTCTCCCAGGATATCAAGGGTTAAGCTCTTAGAGTTGTTTTCATTTTGTTGTACAGTGAATATGATCTTTATAAATTTTGGAAGAAAAGATGGTACAGGTACAACACCGACTTTCCGGACATTGATGGTCCGGAACCTGAACTTGAAATTCCCGTGGCTGACAGACTAGTTTACTGGGCGACTCATAGATGGAGTTGAGTGTAGCTGTGCTCACTCGGATTGTTTACACTATGTGCTGGTGGGGAACACCCCAATTCTGTGCTTTTCTTAGCTTATTTTGATTAAATTAACCCAGCTATGGCTTCTAAGGGAGATGAGAAAGAGACTGGTAGTGTCAAATGTAAATGCCAGTCTTTGTTGATTCAAGAGAAAATTGAACTGTTGAGAAAACCGGACCATGGTGCTTCATTGTGTAAGATCTGTGAAGATTATGGTCTCTGTAAATCAACTGCTGAGGTGACCACCCCTAGTCCAGAAAAATTGGAAACGACTCAGAAATGTATAAAGCTTGTAATTCTGTTTTTATCATTTTATGATGTTATAAGTTTATTATCAAACAAAGATTAATAATTTTTAATAAACCTTTAAAATTTTTCTATTTTTTTTTTTAGTAAGAAAATAGTAACCTCAACACCAGTAAAAGGTTCAAGTGAAAAATTAGCATCGTCAGCAGGATTCACCCCATCTGGAAAACGTAGGAGGTCCAGTGGCTTCTATAAGAAAGTGAGTTCTGTACAGTTTTGCCAATTGTGATGGAATGTTTCCTTGGTATATGTCTTGAACTGTATGCATGTGTCTTTTATCTTTGTACAGTAATTGTTTGCTTTTTTCTTTTCTCTTTTACACCAGCTAGTATCCATGTTTAAGGAGGTGGCTCATGGCACCATTTGGCCTGAGCTGTGCTACAAATACCCTTCAAGGGGATGCCTTCACACCAGTGAAGGTCTCTTGATTTAAGGAATTGGATCTACCCTCCTTTTTTGTATTAAACCTGATTATCTCCCATTTCCCAGGCACTGTATAGCTGCTGGGTTTAGTGCTTCATGATATAATTAGCCCCAAGTAGCATATGGTAGATACAAGGATTGGACAAAATAGTAACCTGAACACCTGCTGATTGCACTGTCGAACTGTTGAGTGACTGAATACAGCCTCACCTCACTTAACGATGGAGTTCCGTTCCTAAGACCACGTTTGTAAATGAATTCGCCACTAGGTGAGGAGCATACTGTAATGGTAGTGGGTTTGTGTCAGCCATCTTTGATATTGTTTTAATGTCACCTTTGCACCACTATATAACACCTCTGATATACAGTGGAACCTCGACTTACAAGTGTCCCAACTTAAGAGCTTTTCGAGATACGAGCCATTACTCAGTTTTTTGCTCTGAGTTATGAGCCATCATTAGAGTTACAAGTAAGCTTTCCTCACTTCTCCCTTACTTTCTTAGGACCCATGGTTAGAAACAAGAAATTTGGCAAAATAACAGCACAAAATGCAAGCAAAACATGAGAGAAATGCTTCTACGGCAAGGTAAATGGTGCACTGAGTTGGCAGCGTTCTGAAGCTCTTCGTTATTATTATTACAGCCTCTCCTCACTTAGCACTAAGACCCTGTCGTTAAACGAATTTGTCGCTAATCGAGGAATCTCCCCTTACTGACATTTCAAAAGTGTCGCCACCCAAAATTAAAAATTCAGTTTTATGTTTGCTGGGAAATTCCTTTCAATCTGGTTATTATTAACTGTAATACAACATGAAATAGGTCAATGACTTGCTTCCGAGATATTCTAGGAAATACATACATAGCTGATTACTTGGGAAATTTTATTTTCGAGAAAATTGCACTTCTTTCAGTCTTTGCATAAGGTAAGAGTGATCTTCTATAGTTACCCTTCAGGCATGTAACATTTTCTGTAATGGTCGCATTTTTTTTCACCCTCCCCGCCCTCCACCCTTCAGTACCTCTCTATATGATGTCAGTTTTTATTAATTTAGGCGTCTTCGTCACGCTTCTACATTATTTATGTTATGTAGTAGACCGTCATTTAACATGATTTTGTCTTGCACAATTTTCTTGTAGCACGATTAAAGAATTGCAGCATATTTTTGTTCAACACTTTGTAAAATTAGTTTAACACAGTGGGGTGAGGGGAAATAATTTTGAGTGCCCAGACACCCGCCGGGCGGGATGGTCTGTGGGTTAGTGGGTTACACCATTGTGTCAACTGGGGAAACTTATTGCCATCCCCCACATCCCTAAGCCACCCACACCACCCTTCCAGCCTTCAGTTCGGTTCATATGCGTGTAGGACGACGATACTCTGGAAGCTCACTGCGTTTATTTACATACACGTTTTCTTATTTTCATTGCCATTTGTTAAATCTAGACCAGCTGATGGTGCCTTACCGTCAGCTGTATAATGTACTGCAGGGTAAAAGAGCCCAGAGATTCTTTACAGAATTTATGCGCACTCAAATACAACCATCAACTTCAGTATCAGAACCTCTACCATTCACTTCTACCAACAACCATCCACCTCAACCCAGTAGGGCCACACCATCCATATCCACTCTCTTCTCAATCATCCACAAACACCATTACCCACAATTTAAAGTAAGAAATACTCTTACAGTGGACCCTTGACCAACGATTTTAATCCGTTCCAAAGAGCTTGTCCTTAGCTGAATTTATTGTTACCTGATTTAATTTTCCCCATAAGAAATAATGGAAATCCAATTAGTCCTTTCCAGACACCCAAAAGTATGAATTTTTTTTTTTTTTACATGAAATATACATTTTCCTACACAGAAAACAATGATACATGCACAATAAATACTACATGAAGAATAAATGACACTTTCCTTTATTGAAGATGTAGTGATGAGTGATAAGATGGGAGTAGGAGAGATGATGGTGCATTATTGTTTGGAAGGGAATCCCGTTCCATAAGGACTTTTGGTACCGAGTCCTTTTCCGGGGTTACTTCCCTTCTTTTTTTTAATGCCACTGGGAATAACTTGACAGTTACTGGACCTCTGTCGCACCAAAAATCTTTCCATAGAGCTCTGTACCATGCGTCCAATATGCATCAACTGGCGAGTCTAATATTCTTTCACAAGTGCACTGATATTATTTATATCATTTCTACACTCATGCAGTAGTCTGCATAACAGTAAATCTTCTATTTTTGTGAGACTAAAAATTCAAAGTGGAAAGCAAAAGAAATGTAACAGGCCTGGGGATGTGACTAATGAACAGAGGAAATGTTATTGTAGTGCCAGGAATGTCTTTCTTTGTTTATTCTGGACCCTATTTGGAAATTGGGATATTTTGAAATTTGAGAAATTGGCAAAATTGCCAGTTTCTGACCCCTTTATTGGATAGTTGAAATCGGTAAATGGGTGGTCTCTTGTACTCGTTCGATAGAAAAAATGGAGTTCTAGCAAAATAGTTATGATTTTTGTCGACTGGTACATTGGAATTGGCTGAAAGTAGGGCTCAAAGTGGGCAAAATTGCCAATGCGTAAACATCGTCGAGACCGCTAACTTCACTGACCACTTCTCTGACCACTACATCAGTCTATTCAAATCATCTTTAAGTGCTCTAATGCCCTCATTTGAATGAATTGGACAGTCTATTTTGGTGTCATCAGCAAATTTGCTGTCGCTATTTATTCCCTCATCTATGTCGTTTTTGTAGATTGTGAACAACAAGGGGCCCAACGCTGACCCCTGTGGAACACTGCTTGTGATGTGCCCCCATTCTGATTTCTCCCCATTTATGCAAACTCTCTGCTGCCTATTCGTCAACCATGCCTCTACCCAGGAAAAAATTTCTCCTATTCCGTGTGCCTTAAGTTTTCTCAACAGCCTCTGATGTGGAACTCTGTCGAAAGCCTTACTGAAGTCCATATACGCAATATCATATTCAATATCATGATCTACCTCCTCAGATACCTTAGTGAAGAAAGTTAATAAATTTGTAAGACAGGAACGCCCCTTTGTAAAACAGTGCTGAGATTCATTAATCAATTTATGCCGTTCAAGATGGCTACGAATTGCTTCGGCAATTATTGATTCCATAATTTATTAACTATGGAGGTAAGGCTTATTGGTCTATAGTTCGAAGCTAAGGACCTGTCATCTGCCTTGTAAATAGGTATTACATTTGCCATTTTCCACTTGTCTGGCACTATGCCAATTTGTAGTGATGTATTGAAAAGATTTGTCAAAGGTATGCTAAGTTCCTCTTTACATTCCTTTAAAACCCTTGCAAACAGTTCATCAGGGCCTGGGGATTTGTTAGGTATTAATTTCTCTATTTGTCTGAGGACCATGTCACTAGTTACCCCAATCGTTCATTTATTATCGTCTTGTTCTACATAATTTATTATTTCTGGAATTTCGCTAGTATCTTCCTGAGTAAAAACTGAGAGGAAGTAGGTATTGAAAAGTTCACACATTTCCTTATCACTGTCAGTGATCTGACCTGAGTGGGCCTAGCTTGTCCCTAATCTTACTTCTTTATACCTGAAAGATCCCTTTTGGGTTAGTCTTCGAATCCCTTGCAACTTTAGCATCATAATCCCTTTTTGCTTTTCTTATTCCTTTTTCTTATTTCTCTCTTTAATTGAATATATTAATTTCTTAACTGCCCTTACCCTCTTTTTATACTCCTATATATGCCTATCTTTTTATCAATGAGATGTTTTAATCTATTGTTTATCCATTTGGGATCATTTATGTTAGATCTAATTTCGCCAATCGGGACAAAAGTCGTATGGGCAGCCACCACTATGCTCTGAAATAGGTCATATTGGCAACCAACCTTACCTACCTGACAGTCAGGTCATCCCAATTTAGCCCTCCCATGTAATTTCTCATAACCACGAAGTTGGCCAAGTGGAAATCTGGGACAGCGACTTGATTGCAGTTATCTTGGTAATTCCATGATATATTAAAATAAGTGATTTGTGATCGCTTTCCCCTAGTTCATCACTAACCTCAAGATTATTGATTAGTGATTCCATACTGGCAAGAACCAAGTCAAGCAGATTGTTTCCTCTAGTTGGTTCTGTCACAAACTGTTTCAAAATGCAGTCTTGAACCGCATCAAGGAAGTCACTAGACTCGAGATTTCCTGTCACACTGTTCCACTCAATATGCCTAAAGTTAAAATCTCCCATTAACACATTTTCATATCTAGATGCCTTATGAATTTCATCCCATAGCAGCCTACCTCACTCCATATCAAGGTTTGGGGCCTATAAATCTCACCCAAAATTAATTTTTCACGACCTTTGAGAAACTGTAGCCAAACAGACTCTCTGTCCGATGTTTCTAATCTTACATCTTGTCTAACACAATAATTTAAATTTTCTCTTATATGGTGAATCGTGTTCTTGGAGTATATAAACAAGCCAGGTGGGGTGTGGTGACCATATTAGAAAGACGGGGGAGCTGTATAGCTAGTTTTGTTCATAATTTGAAATGTCTGTGTTAGCGGAATGCCATAAGTTTTTTCTTGAAATACCAGACTTATACCATGAATCTCATATAACCTGTAGTTACCAGCGGTCGCAGTATACACAACGAGAAGCAATTATTACTACAGAAAAAGCGTCCTTCCTCCAAAATTTCCACCAGTCAACTATAGTGATAATATAGCATTTATTGTGGTGGAGACGAAAAAAAACTAGGAAAGCTAGATACAGCGATT